GACGTCGATGTGACGCCGGTCTCGGACGGCGCGCGCGCGATGCTGCTCTTCCACCTCGTCTTCAACGACATTGACGACGCACCACAACAGCCGTTTGACACAACGTCTGCCCTTGCCGCGCTGCTCCTCGAAGCGTCCAAAGCGCACCAAGACGCCACACTCCACGCGTTTGTGCTGCAGAACCAAGACATGCCCGTGCGCTTCGCGACGTTGTCGGCCGCCGACAAACTCCGCATGCAGCGGCTCGCCGAGGCCGACTGCGTCGACATGGCGCTCGTCACGGCCATACCGAGGCGCTGCCCCGACAAGGTAGACCTCGTGATAGCACAACGTACACTGACAACGGGCGTGTGGCAGGCGCGCGACCGGTTTCTAACCATGTGCTTGCATTTACTCGACGCCGGCGTCAGCGACGACAACGACGATGATGATGATGAAGAGGAAGAGGGAGAGGAGGACAGAGAAGCAGAGGAGGAAGCCAACGAGCTCGGAAAAGACGACGCCGACTTGCAACATCATCTGGAAGCGTTTGGGACCCTTCCGCACGCACACTACATTCTGTCGCCCGTCGTGCACCCCTCGTGTGCGCTACCGGCACAGCTCAAGCACGCGCTCCGCCATAAACCGCTATGGGACCTCCGCCCTCATCTGCACCACACGAGCACGATTGCAGACGATGACCCGGTACGTTGTCTGGTCGTTTGGCCGCGACAACACCGCGTCCGGCTGCTCGGCTTTCGCACGTCGCTCGCGCAACTGAAGGCCCTTGTCGCCGGGACCTCGAGGGACCTCTACGGCTACGCGTCGATCCCGGCATTTGCGGCGGCCGTTCTGGACATGGTCGGCTCGGACGTCGACGAGCCTTCGCTTCTGTGTGACGTACCGGACGTGCTCCGGCTCAGCTCCGTGCTGGTAGCGCTCGGTGATGTTGCGTTGATCCGGAACGTTCTCGCCGTCATCGAGATGGAGAAGATGCATGCGCCGCTCCGAGACGTGGTCGTGACGATGCTGCGTCACTTTGGGTGGACGACACTGCAATCGGCGATCCAAGATCTGGTTCAGCGGACGCCGACACGTCTTCTCGAGCTATCGCATGCCGCCGCGTTCCTCGTGGGCTGTCTCGAGCTCGAGCAGCCGTACCTCCGCAAGATGATTGTGGCGGCGTACTGGACGCTGCTCGAGATGCTCGATGGCCTCTCTGCGTTTCGTACCAACCCGAGTATCGCCAGTGCGCTGCTCCAAGACTTGCTGCGCCTCGAAGGCTATTTGCGCGCACCCCGTACGGCAGCGTCGCACCGCATGTATCTCGACACGCGTCTCCCGCCTGGCGTCGTCGACCATATCGCGTTGTTTCTGCGCCCCTGTGCACTCGTGGACGTCGTCACGACACATCATTTTGCACCGATGACGGTGGTTGCGTCAGCACTCTACGCGCTACGTGACACCCACGTGGTGTCCGTCCAGTCGTACCGAGCACGCGTCGATCGCGCAGTCGATGGTGCGCTTTGGCCACCAGTTGACAAGAGCAAGGACCACAACCCTAACCGCAACCGAAACGTGACAACAGACATGACCGCCGTGCTGGCGCTGGCCTTGCTTCGCGGCTCCGAGACGTTTGAAGCTCTACTCGATCGCTGTCTCGCAGTGTGTACACCGACGAACGTCGTCGACTCGATATATGGTCTCGTGACGCAGTGCCCCGGCGCGGTCCCGCCCGGCGCCACGAAGGCTCTGGCTGCCTGCGTTCTCGAAGCTGCCAGCAGTGGGATTCGCAGTGCCACCACGAGCACGATTGCCGTAGACACAGCAACGACGGCGTGGCAAACACTGCAGGCGCTCGACGCCATAACGCAAGCGGATGCAATCGTCGATGCCGTCGACTACTGCGTGGCCGCTCTCGCTTCGGACCACACGCGGCCCCAGTACGCTACCCGCATCGTCTCTAAATGGTGTCCAGTCGTTGCTGAGACGCATGAGCTACCGCGACTGCGCCGGCTACTGGCTTTGTTACAGCCCACCTTGGAGGCGTCCGTGGCAGCGCAGCGTCGCCCGTCACCCAACATGACAAAATGGGCGATTCCGTCGACGTACTTTTACTGCGACTGTGCGCTTTGCTCGGCGGCGGAGGCGTTTGTGCACGACCCGTCGCGTGGTGTGTTTACGGTCCCGGGCAATGGCTGCAGTTGCATCCATTTCTTTGCCCGTCTCCAGCGCACCAAGCCCTTCCGCGACCTCGAGGTTGGCTACGATGCCGACAAACTCGAGTTTTTCAAAGTTGGTGCAAAGGACGTACGCGACCATGACGATCTAGTGCGCGCTCTCGCTCTTGTCCGTGATGTCGTTGACGGCGACGATCCCGCACCCAAGCGGCTGCGGTGTGCCTGACTGTGGACCAACGAACAAAGCATTTCGTTTGATTTTCGAGTAAAATAGGTACAAGACAAGGTGTCGCTACTCGTCGTCGTCGTCGCTGATGCCTTGAAACGTGATGACATACCGCAGCCGGACTTGCGTCTCGCGGTACACAACGTACGTGTCATGCCGCTGCATCAATGGCGTCTCTTGGTGCACGAGCGGACCATGGGCCATGTGGAGGCCGTCGACGATGCACCGTGACGACGCCGGCGTCATTGCGCCAGGGACGCGCACCGCGTCATAGCCGTCGGGCGCCGACTGCCACTGTGGCGTGGGGCCATCAACGAGCGTGTGCACAGCACCCAGCGCCGCTTGGACGACAAAGACACAACCGGCGCCGACGCCGTCGCCCATGTGTGTCATTGCGTCTTCCATCGAGTTGCTCAAGTACACGCCGCGGCCGTAGCGCAGGTGGCGTCCGTCGGACGTCGTATCGATGCGCAGGCCATGGGCGAGTATGGCCGCAACCGCACTACCCCGCGCTCCGTAAAAGAGCAGCTGGTGGTTCCCAATCGTCGCGTCGATCGGGGCTGCGTGGATCGCCCAGACGTGCTTGGTGCGCACGCCGGCGTAGATCCCTCGGGTCGACCGCGCACACTCGAGAAGGCGTTGGCAGCCAGCGTCATTCCGCGACGAGAGCGGCTGCAGCTGTCCATAGAGATGCTTTGTCGACGCAATCGACTGCGTCAGGCACTGGTTGTGGAGCAGTGCGACGGCATCGTGTAGCGGTTCCAGTGGCAGGAGGCAGCTCGGGACAGGCGCGGTCGCATCGGATGGCGCAAGACACGGCAAGAGGCCGTAGAAGGCCAACGCGTACGCGCGCAGCTCGTGGGTAGTAAGCGCCTTCCCCGAAGCAATGGCGTGCGTCCACTGCGTCAGCGTGTGGCGGGCGGCAGCAATCGTGTTGAGGCGAACCGAGAGCGACGCAGGCAAGCCCATGGTCCGTAGCTCCAGCTGCACGACGGCAGGGTCGAGCAGCTGCGAGAGCCACTCGGCCGTCGGGTCTGCCGTGTGTCGCTTGGGCGCAAGGCGGCGGCGAGGCGTGGGGGCAGCGCGCTTCCGGGTCATATCTTGAACTGCTCCTCGGATTCGTACGGCTGCTGGTGACCGTCATTGGGCGGTTCAGGACCAGCACTCACATTTCGAATCCAGCATTAAAAGCATTAGAAAGTATTAGAAAGCATTATCGTCGCTACCTGCACCACATTCGTTGCTCCGTAGCAGCACACGGCGTCTTGAAATGTTGCATCACGTGCCTTCATGCCATTGGTTGCAGATACGTATCCCTTGGGTAGACCCGACGTGGACAAGGTAGTGCTTGGAATGCAGCGCTCGAAACGACCAAGGTCGAATACTTTATTTTCTGCGTTTCATTGGTGCAAAAGATAGAAACTCTCGGATTCGATTCGCCGTTGCAAACTCAATGCCCAATACAATGAGCAAGTCAAACTCAATGGCATTGATTTTGAGAGGTGGCACCGGCCAAGTGCCAAGACCAGAAGGCCCATGACCGCCAGCCAGAAGACACACTCGGGCCGCCGAGGACCGCGCTTGACGACGCCCGAAGGCGTCAACGTCTGTCTCTTCTGCCGTAACCCCAAGCGCCACAAGCCCTTCTGCCCGCAGCAACCCCGACCGTACGTTGCCCACGGTGCCTGCCTCGTTTGACCTCGTGGATCTTCCAGGCAGCGGCAGAGCATCTACGCTGAATCGCCACCGCGCGCGCGGCCCGCGCCATGGGAGCCAGCACTTGCGCCGCACGATCCGTTCAACGTCGTCGATGTACGCCCGCCCCGCCGCCCTCGCGCATCGGCAAATGACGAACTGGCCAGCACCGACGGCGTGACCGACGACATGGCCAGTCCGGCGCCGCCCATGGCCGTTGCCGCCATCACGCCCGAGACCACATTGCCCGAGACCACGGTCGCGCTCGCACCGCCCGCGCTCTCGTACACCCTCGCCTTCGAGGACATTGTCTGAGAGAGGTGGTCTTTTGTAGGCTACAGCAGCGTGCTACTGCATCGAGCTTTGTCGCGCGGATCTGGGCCGAGCGCGAAGCAACCTTGCCGCGCCTGTACTGTCTGCGGCCGCGTGGCGGTCTCGACCATCTGCGGTGGCCCAGCTGGAAGTACACGATGCCGGACCCGCTCTTGATCCACCCGACGCGGTCGTCGGACCCCGACGTATCGCAGTTTGGCGGCACGGACGTGCTCGTGTGGTGTCCGTTTACGTTCTTCCCGCACATCATCGACCTCACGACCTTGAGCTGCCCGGCGTGCGGCGCCACCGGCTGCATCTCGTCGGACGGGTGGTCGAAAGACTTTGCATCGGTCATCGCCAACGATGGCCAGCGCGCGCTCCTACGAAGCCGACGCCTCCGCCACATCAAGTGCCCGCGCGCCAAGACGGACACGTGCTTCTCGAGCCTCGACGAGCACCTTTTAGCGCACTGGTACCCCGACGTGTTGCTGCGGCTTTTGCCGACGCAGACATGGGGCGACCACGAGGTCGGCGCAGCGCCGACAACCGAGCTGCTGCCACCGACGACGGTCGCTATCGACGCCACTGTCGGGGCGCCGCCAGAGGCAGTGACCAAGCGACCACGCGAGCTGCTGCCGTGCCCCCACTGTGGCAATGCGACTCGCTTCCATCGCTCGGCCGAGTCCAAGTCGTGTGAGCTCTACCAGTTTTACAAGGAGCACAAGTTTTCAAAGAACGGCTTTGAGAAGGCCATCGTGGCCTTCCGGCAGCGCCCGGTTCACGTGTAATGCGTCATCTCGTCGGTAGTATATGTAGTCGTATTACCATGTTGTGGTGTTCCCCTAACCCTTAGGGGTAGGGTAGAGCATGCAAGCTCGTACGCTTGCTGCATGCAGAGCGAGGACAGAAGACGAGGCATTCTTGTCGACATGTCATTGATTGAGAGGCGGGCGTACATCCAAGGAGACATGGAGTTCGACGTGGAGGCTGGGGCGCCGACGAGCGCCGTTGCACACGAGTTTTGGCAAGCCGTGGAGCACGGTAGCGCAGTGGTGGTGTGGTCGTTCTCACCGCACGAGGTGGCCGTGTAGCCCAATGCAGAAGCATGGCTCGTGGGTCGGAGGCAGCGAGGGTGACGTCCACAAGTCTGCAGTGATCTCGAAAACACATGCGATTCTAGTCGATATATTGATAGAACAAACTAGAGTTTGGGCGACGGCGCGCGGGTGCGAATAGCTTCGAGAAACGCGACGACGGTATCGCCGTAGGCGAGTGCCCGGGGCGACGTAAAGATGTTGAACGCGTGCTGCGCGGATGGCACTTTGATAAAGACGTCGGGGATCCGAGGTCGATCGGTCGCCGCCGTCTCGGCGCGCATCGTCTGCAGCGCGTCATAAAACTCCTTCGAATCCTCAAAAGGAACGACCGAGTCGAATTCACCGTGGACGAGTAAGAACGGCGGGACAGGATACTTTCGATCAAGGACGTACTGCAGCGACGACGCCGCTTGGAAATGCACTTTGGTCGACGGGCGCAGCTTCTTTTGCATGAGCATGACCTCAATGTACTTGCGAAAGCCGTCGGCGTTGTCCCGTTTCCGAAAGTGGCCGTGGCGGTCGAGGACGTCGTGGATGCCGTAGGCGTCAATACACGCCGAGACGGACGTGTCGACGGCTTCAAACCCTGGCTGGAACCGCCTACACCGTACTTGACAGCCACTGTCAATGGATCGCAAGACGTACGTTTCGCCCGAGGTGACGGCGACGAGGGAAGCAAGATGCCCGCCCGCCGACTCGCCGCCGACCACAATCATACTACACATAGTACAAACATCAACAACAACGCATCTGAGGATCCTAACCTACCCCGCATCCAAGTCGAGTTCGGTCGTCGTGCGCAGATACGCAATCGCGCGCTTGCAGTCGATGAGGTTGGTGGGAAAGCCGGCAAAAGGCGCGAGGCGGTAGTCGATCGAGCAAAAGAGCCAGCCCTTCGAACACACCTACGCTCGCGTGAGACGTCGCCGTCATCCAGAGCCACGACCTGATGCAAGAGCGCTTGTGGCGCATACGACCGGTTGCCCACGAGCCAGCCACCGCCGTGAATGAAGAGGAAGACGGGCGGCTTGGGGCCGCAGCTCTTGTGTTTGAACACGTCCATCTGCATGGCCCGCGACACGCGCTTGCCGACGTGCGCATACGTCTTGGTGCCAAGGCACTCGACGCCAGGGTACATGCCCTTGAGCGCGAGCTGCATGGGGAGTGGGCTCCAGATGAGGAGCCATTGCCACATCGAGCGCGCGCCAATAGCCGTCGCAGCGGTCGCGGGCGACAGCAGCTGCTTGCGGATGCACGCTTCTTGAAAGGCGTGCTTGGCCGCTGCGTTGCTACGAAAGAGCTGCACAAGCCGAAAGATGACGTAGGCGTGGAGGAGCTGGACCCAGCGCTGCGACGTGCGGCGGTAGTAGAGCAGCATGCTGTGCAATACCAAGAAGAGATGCGATAGCTCGCCGGGCACCATCGAGACGAAGAAGGACACCATCGACTACAAATCACATTGGGCTGGGCGTGAAGGCGAAGAAGAAGCGTACCTGGAGGCGCGGGAACCGGTACTGCGCGCGCTGCGTGAGCACGCCGAGCGTCGCCGCATATGCCGCAAAGAGTCCGTCACTCATGGCGCTTTTGCAAGTGCAAAGTGATTTGGCCAAATGAAAACAGCTGGCGCCCCCAAGCTTCAACGCGGTGCCGGCAGAAGGCGCCTGTCCAATGCTGCTGCCCTTTCTAGCGGTTTCACGCCATCGCTCGACCAAGCGGTAAGGGACAGCGCCTCACCAACGTTGCAGTGAAAGATACTGACGACGCGCACGAACGAGGCGGTGCCCAAGCAGTGGTTGTGCTGACGACGGGCATCATCACCGCGATCAGCACTGAAATCGACCGGCTTAGCTAATACGGTCCAATCTCTGTCGGCATCGTCGGCTACTTGCTGTTTGATTGGACGTGCAGCAACAGCGATGTTCGAAGGAACGCAGCGCGGATCTTGCAGCTCACGTTGGCTGCTACCTTGGGCACTAAACGGTGGCTTGGGGTTGTTGTATGGGCGAACGACACGGCCAGAAATGTATGGACCTAATGACAGAATCGACCTTCTCGCGTCAGTAGAATCGCACGTCGCATGAACGTTAAAAAAACTCGTCGCAGCGAAAGCGACTGCTTTGGCTCTTGTCGGTTCGTGGGATTTGAAGTGGCGCGTCGTGGCAGCAGCTTGTGACGTCAGATTTCGAGCGATTGGATTGGTCGAATTCAAAGTACTTTCTTTTAGCCAATCATATCGCACAATGATGTACCTCGTGCATGGCGACCGAAATGATTTTCTGCAAAAATCCAAAATGTAGCTCCTGAGGACAAATTCCCCAATGCACAATCATACTTACCTGACTAGGGTTGGACCGTGCTCATGCAGGCGGTTCACCTAGGCCGGAGCAGGCCTTCATGCACTCCGGTGCTGTAATGGCCTAGGAGTGCCTTCGGGTTCCTCCATAGTGCAATTTTTGCCAGCGGGGGTGTGCGCGTGCGCCACCCCCACCCCTCATTCTTACATTACCATTGTACTTTTTTCTTTCCCTTTTTTTCACTACGATTTTACTACACGTCCCCACGTCCCCCCGAGACGAGCTCCGCCAATAAAGTGAATAACTTCATCTCCACTAATATACCACGAATGCAATCGTCGAGTTGGTACGGATACTATCGAACGTGCCCGTATGTATCAACTTATCAATTTATTGTCCCTGATATATCAACTTGATCTATCGCACTTGATAAAAACGTGATAGAATCGCTACATGCCCCACACTGGCATCCATTGTTCAACGTACCACCCAACGATCATGTCGACACAAATGCTCGAGTTGGCATACGCCGTCAATTCCGTA